GCAGGCCGACGGACCAATCGGCGGCCAGAGCCTGAGCCTCGACTCCAATCAGGTCCCTTTGGGTGGACGTGAGGCGCTCTACGCCCCGGCGTCCCACCAACCAAAGAGCGCCCTTCTATGTAGCCCAATCACGTCAGGCGGATGTCGTAAGGACCAATCAGAACAGACGCAGGGGCGGGACTTATCAGGACTAGATCAGAGTGGGCGGGGTTGTTGAAGACCCCAGTCATATGAGGGGGCGTGGTCGGGCTATACCATTGTTGTGGACTGGGGGACAGGACAGCGGCAGTGACGACTAGGATACAGCGGCCCAGCTCTGTTTTCTGTCGGCGCGTGCTCCTTCTGTGCGTCCTCCCTCTGCGAATGGTCTGGTCCCGGGCCGGGTCACGTGAGCCGGTTCCAAGATGGCGGCGGCGGCGGGGTCCGGTTGGGGGCCGGAGGCGGACGAGTTCGAGGACGCCCCCGATGTGGAACCGCTAGAGCCAACGCTGAGCAACATCATCGAGCAGCGGAGCCTCAAGTGGATCTTCGTGGGGGGGAAGGGAGGCGTGGGCAAGACCACCTGCAGGTGAGGGGGGGTGAGCGTGCGTGGCCGTGCCACGAAGGGGGAAGAAGGGGTGGTTGGGATGTACCATTCCTGTGGCGAGGGGGTGCCGAGCTCACCTGGAGAGGGTGGAACTTGGGATGTACCGTTATGCGTAGGGGAGAGGAGCCGTTGGGGGCGTGGCGAGGCCCCCGGAGGGCTTGAGGTTGTACCACTATGTGCGGGGATGGGGGAGTGGCTGGGCTGTACCATTGCTTTTTTGAGAGAGGGGTGAGGGTTGGGACGCACCATTCCTACACCACTAGGGGTGTTGGATGTACCATCGTAGAGGTTGGGGTTGCCTGTAGGCGAAGGGCCACGAGAATGTACCATGTTAGTGTATATAAGGTGGATGGTACCACTTGGAGGAGAGAAGGGTTGGGATGCACCATTTGGAGGAGAGGGGTGCGGGACTTGCTGCTAGTCTAGGGAGCAAGGGGTGAGAGGAAGAGGGGCTGGGCTGTACCAAGTTGGCCCTGCTATAAGCATTGGTGGGGCGAGGCCACCTGTATGAGATTGTACCAGATTGGGGGCGGGGGGGACAAATTGTGAAGACTGGGACATACCAAAAGTACCAAAGAGCGGGTGGGGTGTTTGGTCTGTACCATTATGCTGGAAGGACTATAGATGAGCCTATGACTGGTAGGGGAGCTGGGATCTACCATTGCCGCTTGAGGGGCACAGGGAGTGTGATGCTGCTGCCTCTAGGGGAGAGGTGAAAGCGCCTCCTGTCCTATGCCTCACCTCTCCAGCGATCCCAAACCCCGTGGATTTCCCGCCGCTAGTTCCCTTCTCGTGTCACCTGAATTGCCCCCCATGCAGCTGCAGCCTGGCCGTGCAGCTGTCAAAGGTGCGTGAGAGCGTCCTCATCATCTCCACCGATCCAGCCCACAACATCTCCGACGCCTTCGACCAGAAATTCTCCAAGGTCCCAACTAAAGTCAAGGGCTATGACAACCTGTTTGCCATGGTGAGCTTGGGCTGGGGAGAGAAGATGGGTTTCAAATGGCTCTGCTTGTTTGGCTGTATGCAGGGCTGGCACCGAGTCCCTAAGCATTTGGAGCCCTGCTTCCCAGTTGCCTGTGTTAACTTCTAGATTGAGCTTCTTCTTGGAACTGGAAAGAAAGAGGAAAAGTCCTGGCTCATTCTCCTTTGGTTCAGCCCTTAGTCCCCACTTCTCTTCCAGAGCTAAGAGTTAGACCTTTGGCATCCTGACTCCTCATCCCATCCCCCCTCCAATCTAACCACTAGATCCCACTCCCAAAGCAGGGAATAAAACCCAGGAGTCCTGGCTCCTAGTCCTCCCTGCTCTAACCACTAGATACCACTCCTCTTTTAGAGCAGAGAATAGAATCCAGAAGCCCTGGTTCCCAGTCCCTGTTCTAACACATTAGGCATTCGGAAATGTGTCCATCTCTTCTCAGTGTTCAAGACGAGAGCTGGTGCTGAGTGAATGAGTCGCCCATCCTTGGGATAATGATGGCCACTCTTCCCTAAATCCTTGCCCCCTTCTTCCTTGCCCAGGAGATCGACCCCAGCCTGGGAGTGGCGGAGCTCCCGGATGAGTTCTTTGAGGAGGACAACATGCTGAGCATGGGCAAGAAGATGATGCAGGAGGCCATGAGTGCTTTTCCCGGCATTGATGAGGCCATGAGCTATGCGGAAGTGATGAGGTGAGCTAGGCAGCCTGCTACCAGGCCCATGCTACATGCCTGCGGCCATTGGGAAGCGTAGCTGACGTGGGGGTAGCCCTGATGAAAGGGTGACCAGGACAGGCCCCCTATCATAGGGGGAGGAGAGGTTGGGATTTACCAGTAGTGTGGCAGCGGGAGGAGAAGAGCAGACCACTTGTAGGGGACCAGGAGCTGGGCTATATGGCCGTTATGGGGGGGAGGGATGTGCTATCAAGGGAAGGGATGAAACCACCTATAGCAGAGGATCGTTAGAATGTACCATGGCAACATGGCAGGTGGGAATGAAACCATCTGTAGGTGAAAAGGCTGTTTGCTATACCGGCTCGCATATTGCACTTGTCTCTGGTTCGAGGACCTTCCTGTAGTGCATTAAGCCAGTGGTTCCCAAACTTCTTTGCACCACAACCCCCTGCTGACAACACAAATTACTAAACGACCCCGAGGGGTGGGGGGGCAAAGCCTGAACCCACTGCCCTGGATAGGGGGCACAAAGCCATGGCCCACGTGCTTCAGGCCTCGGGCATTGGGGCTTGGGCATCAGGCCCCAGCAAGTCTAAGCCAGCCCTGGTGACCCCCTTAAAACAGGGTGGTGACGTGCTTTGGGGTCCCAGGCCACAGTTTGGGCACCATGGCGTTACGCGTGTAGCTGCACACCTGTCACTTGGGGAAGGAGACCATCAGCCCGGGGCTGGGATATGCCGTTATACTAATAAGCACTTTAGATCTGCAGGGTGGGTATGTCCCTCCTCCTCCCCCTGGCATTGCACTCGGGCCTGTGAGATCTGGGTTCAGCTGTCCACTGCCCGTGTAGCTGTTGGCAGGGTCAGAGGGATGACCTAACAGCCGGGGCATAAACTCAGACTTTATATATTTAGTTCCCAGCTCTGCCTGAGGTGTCGGCTGGGACTTGGCTAGTGACTGTGTTTGGTAGGGCCATGGTGGTCCAGCTATCCAGGGGACTAAGAGCATTTCCCTTGTCTGTCTCTTCTGTTTGCCCTGCGAGCTCTTTGGGATGGGGCTTCTCAAGCTCTGGGCAGTGCCCGGCCCTGTACGCTCAATCATAATGTTACCGCTGTTGAGAAGCCACACACAGGCTTCTCGGCAAAGCACTGGGAACCGTAAAGCTAGGAGAAGCAGAGCCCGTTCCCTCCGTAGCACATCCTTCCTCTGCGATTCTTGACAATGGGAATGAAATTCTAGGTGACAATCCCAGTCCAGAGCCTCCCCATGTGACCGTTGATAGACAGGAGCTGAGTAGCTCACAGTTCTGGGAACAGGTGTCTCAAACAGCATGGCTGTCAGTTTGTGTCAAGCGTGGAATGGACTGTAGAGGGGGACCTCCCCTGTAGAGCAGGGGTGCCTCTGCTTAGCCTGTGGGGGGCCTATCTAGGGGACTGTAGTAATCCAGGTGTGAGTTCATTACAGTGGGAAGGAGGGGTGTTGAGAACAAGCCCCTCCCCGCAGGTGAAAGGGTGCTCTCGACTGTACCATTACAGTCAGAAACAGGAACACAATCAGTTTCAGCGAAAGCGACGAGGAGTCCTGTGGCACCTTGGAGACTAACAGATGGATTGGAGCATAAGCTTTTGTGGGCAAGGATCCATTCTGTCAGATGATGAAGCGGGTCCTTGCCCACACAAGCTTATGCGCCAATAAATCTGTTAGTCTCTAAGGGTATGGCTACACTGCTACCCTAGTTCGAACTCGGGTGGCTAATGTCGTCATTCGAAGTCGCAAATGAAGCCTGGGATTTAAATATCCCGGGCTTCATTTGCATGTTCCCAGGCTCCGCCATTTTTAAATGCCCGGTAGCTCGAACTGCCTGCTTGCAGCTACACGCAGCGCGGGCTAGGTAGTTCGAACTAAAGCCCCTAATTCAGACTACTGTTACTCCTCCTGCAATGAGGAGTAATGGTAGTTCGAATTAAGAGTGTTAATTCGAACTACCTAGCCCGTGCCGCGTGTAGCTGCAAGCAGGCAGTTCGAGCTACCGGGCATTTAAAAATGGCGGCGCCACGGGCTAGATAGCTCGAACTAAAGACCCTAATTCGGACTACCGTTACTCCTCATTGCAGTTTGAACTAGGGTGGCTAGTGTAGCCATACCCTAAGGTGCCACAGGACTCCTCGTTGCTTTTGCAGATTCAGACTAACACGGCGACCCCTCTGATATTTGACAATCAGGTTCAGGGGAGAGGACACTATTAGATACACCATTACAACCCCTTGTGGGATAGGGGACAAAACCATCTGTGGAGGGGGGATGCTCTGGGATGTGCCATTATAGAGGGGTTCTTTGGGATATACCATTACAGCCTGTGAAAGGACAAGGCCACGTCCGATGGTGTGGGGGGAGTGCTCTGGAATGCCACTATAGCCAGGGACAGGGGAAGAGGGCGGCTGATTTGGGCCACGCACCTTTCACCAGCATGGGTGAAGAAGGGAAGGGGGGCACGTTCCTTGTGGGAACGAGATGAGTGGGGTTAAGCTTCCGAGGCTAAGCCCTGGCTCTGGTGCTAATGTCTGACTGGCACTTGCAGGCTGGTGAAGGGGATGAATTTCTCCGTGGTGGTGTTCGACACAGCCCCTACCGGGCACACGCTGCGGCTGCTCAACTTCCCCACCATCGTGGAGCGGGGCCTGGGCCGCCTGATGCAGATAAAGAACCAGATCAGCCCCTTCATCTCGCAGGTAGGTGGGGAGGTTGAGCTGGGGGAGGCAGTGTCTGGCTCAAGGAGCTTTCTGGCTAGATCTGGGGGGCAGGGGGCTGGACCAGGGGTGGGCAGTAATTTGATGAGGGGTGGGGACCACGCTCTGCTGTGCTGTTAGTGGAGGAGAAGTGGGGTCTGGATGGAGGTTGGGAGCTCAGGACGGCGGGAGCTGCAGGACTGTGCTGAGGGTGGTGGAATGCGGCGAAGCCCCTTCCCTTGCGGGCCTGCGATGCACAGAGATGCATGTGGCCCCTGCAGCCGGCTGCTTTGAGCAGCTTGTGGGGACACAGCTGGGAGGGAGCCTACCTGAGCCGTGGGATGATGGTGCGCTGGATCCGACTCGCAGGCCGTGGTTTGCCTGCCCCTGGGCTAGTCCGTGGGCTGGGTCGTCCTGGGTCACGCTCAGCAGCTCTGATCTGCTGTGTGCCCCGCTGGTGTGGCTCTGTAGCCCTCTGGCAGCAGGCAGGCTGGCCTGGGGCTGTGGGACACCCTGGTGTGGGGTCCAGCTAGCCAGTGGACTGTTCTCTTAGCCCAGCCGGGGCGTTGCATCACCGTTAACTCCGCCTCCCTCTCCAGATGTGCAACATGCTTGGCCTGGGGGACATGAACGCTGACCAGCTGGCCTCCAAGCTGGAGGAGACCCTCCCCGTCATCCGGTCAGTGAGCGAGCAGTTCAAAGACCCGGTAAGGACTCGGGCGGGGGAAGGGGCGGGTCTGTTGTTGCCTCTCGGCTGAGCCCAGCACCCCCCGCAGAAGGCAGCAAAAGCAGGCCGTGATTGACGCAATCTCTGTCTCTGTCGGCACCCACCGACCCTGGGCAGGGTCCCCTTGTGCCGCACAGATCCCGCGCCCAGAAGGGAGAACGGAAGCCGGCTCCGTGTAGCACGCCGGCCTGAATTCGCTCCTGTCACAGCTGGAGCAGAAAGCCAGCCCAGCAGGAGTTACAAGTGGCCAGTGATGGAGAATTCCCCAGAGCCCCTAAGTCCCCCCCCCTCCCCTTGGCAAAAACAAAATCCACCAGCCATTGATTGAGCAGGTCAGCCCAGCAGACAGAGCTCCGGTCCCCATGGGGGCCCGTGCAGACTGATCTGCTGAGCCATCTCCAAATGAAACAGACTCGCTTCCGGAGGCCGGCACTAGGGCACGTTCTCTGCTCCTTTCGGCCACTCCCGTGGCTGGTCTCTGGGCCCAGCACGCAGCAGAAGGCCCTCTCCTCTGCCTGTCTGAGTTCGGGCTCTCCTGGCCTGAGCGTGTCTACGTGGGGGACTTAACACACATCAACGTAGGGCCCAGTTCCAAGCTCGCTCGCTGTTCCTGACGAGCTCCGTGTCCGGACGCTGCTTCCGGAACACGAGGGCCTTGTTCCTGTTTAGCTGAGCCCCCCACAAAATCTATTGTGATGGGCTCAGATCCCATCTTCACAGCACCCCTGTGAGGGAAGGGGGAAGCACCCGCCTCGCTTTCACACCAAGCCGGGGAGGGTTAAGTGACTTGCCCAAGGCTCTGTGGCAGGGCCGGAGGCAGAGCCTCGTTTCTCGAGTCCCAGGCCCGTCGACACCCAAAGTTTAGACTTTGCTGTGCCATGCGGGGCTATGGAAATTCCACGCCCGGCGCACCAGAGACCAGCATGTCTAGCCCACGGGAGGGAGTCCTGCCCCTCAGAGAGGTGGAGCCGCTCCGTGAAGGGGGGGACTCCTCCAA